TTTTTTTTAAAAAAAAAAAAAAAAAAAAAAAAAAAAAAAAAAAAAAAAAAAAACGGAGACCGAGTCAAAGACTTAATTGAGCACTTTCACCTACTTTTAACTAAACAGCAGCTCTGAAAGCAGAAGCAGCAGTCATCCGATCCAAATAAACCCACAGTCGTACCGACTGAAACCAAATCAGTAGGATGTGAAATGATAGTTGAGAGAAACACAAAAGCTGTTTTACAAACTGAAAATGTAGCACGTAATACAACTAGCCACTCATTACGACTGTCCAAACTACTAATTTCTCAGTGTAACAAACTCACATCGACCACAGTGACCCCACAGAACGGGGAAGCTGGAAAACCAGTGCCTCAATTAGAAAAATCTACAGACTTTTAAATAAATAAATAGATAAATAAAACCGGTCGGTCAGAGTCATCTGCAGGGTCCCGGTGGCTGTGCGAGTAAAACGAGCGTAAACAATCATCTCTGCTTCCCCAGTGTGTTATTACACTTCACTAGGCTCAAAACAGACGCGATGAAGTTGGAAAAAACATATAAGGGATATGAAACAATCATGGCTCAGACTGGAAAAAAAAAAAAAAAAAAAAAATGTAAACCAAACCCAGAGTGCCTCTAGCTTGTTCACATGCATTTAAATAGTCAAATATTAACTTTCTACATGTGTGCATGATTATTATGGGCCCAGCCCAGCTATCTAAAGTGGGGGAATGATTCATTGATTGCAGGATGTGCAGACTGCTGCTTCTGTAACTATAATCCGAGATTAAACGAAGATGTAAAGGATAAAGAAATGTAGGTCATTTTCTTCACTCGGCTCCTGTGGTTGGTTTCAAACAGTAATGGAGACGCAGCGAGAGCATCAGACAGGTTCACAGTAAGATTTTAAACACTGGTCCCATTCGAACACCTTCAGTCAAATAAGGATAGATGAGAAAAAAGAAACAAGAGATAACACAAGGGAAAAAAAATGATGAGACAAAGTTGTGTGCTCCACATTTCTTCTATAATGACACTTTTTATCCAACACCAGCAGCCTAATACTTGTTGAAGGAGCGTAGAGTCGAGGTCGGCGCCTGTCTCGCTGTGCTCAGAGCAGGCGGAAAACATTTACTGATGCTTCGCTGTCTGGGGACAATGTGCTTTTTTTTTTTTTTCAGAAAAACAAAGTCTTGTTGTACCAAATGTGTGCTGACGTGTCGCTCCCTCTCCCCTCCACAATGTTTCTCTCCTTGCACATCAGCAGCTCTCTAAGCATTAAAGTTTTAAACGATTAAAAGGTTTCCAACACACATAAAGGCACGTAACCGTAAACGGGTCTTTGACAAAAGTGGATACGGTCTGGATGAGCTAATGCTGCTAAACTCATTTTAACTTCACCTGTGAGTCTGGGGGGCGCTCATGGGAATTGTGGTTCTTTGGGATAAAGTCATTCTTTTCGTGAGCAGGGTGCTGAGTAATTGCAAAGTGTGGCGTTTCAGACGTGTCCGGTGACGGCGGTCACCCTGATGGTCCCAACGCTCATCTCTTTGTTTCCCTTCATGAGCTGCTGCAGGCTGGGCAGAGAATCGACGCCTCCCCCTGGCACGGGGGGGAACTGCAGCTCCGTCTGACGAGACTTCCGCCGCTTCAGGGAGCGCTTTTCCTGACGGGATTTGGCGGGAGGCTGGGTGAGGGGGAAAGAAAGGCCGTGGCCGTTGCACATGCCGGCAGAGGGGCAGATGGGAGGAGGCGGCGGGAGGCGGCTAGTGTACGACTCCTCGGAGTGAGTGGAGGAGCTGCAGCTGCTGGTTTCAGAGGGGAACTCCTTAGACGTCACGGTGGGCAAAGACGACACCTGGTCTGCGGATGGAAGAGGATGCGACACTGGGGGAGGCACAGGAAGGGGAGGCGGAGGCGGTGGAGGAGGAGCAGGCGGGGGAAGCGAAGCAGGGAGGCTCGAATGGAAGCCGTTGCATTTCGGATCGCCGTTTGTGAGGGGCAGCGAGGGATCAAACGGCATCAGGGTCTCAACTTTGTCCAGAGATTTTGTTTTGCCACGTTTTTTCTGCAGGATGAAAACACAACGGAGGAGGAAAACTTTAGTCTAAAATTCAGAGGAAGAAAAGATACATTTACAGGTGCATTTCAACAAGTTAACGTATTCGTCAAAGTCCGATTTAATTTCAGTAATTCAATTCCAACTCAGATTATGCACAAAGTGATATATTTCAAGAATTTATTTCTCTCAATTTTGATGATTTTGGCTTATAGCTACTGAAAATCAACATCCAACTTTTGGAGGATTATGAAACAAAGCCTGATCAACATTTTGGGGGAGATTCACAAGGTGGGGACTGCAGCTGGAGTCTTCAATAGCCACCAGAGACACAGACCATCACATTCCTTCTGTTGAGTCACTCCTGAACCAGTCGATAACTACGGTCCCAGAGACTGGAAGGACAGAAAGTTATTTGAGGTTCAGAGTGAAGTTTCCACAGTCAGTAATGGTTTGCCATGTCATCTGTGTTTTCTCAAAGTAGACAAGTATCAGGAGATTTTATGAGTACATCATGTTTCCCTCTGTTGACAAATTTTATGGAGACTCTGATTCCATTTTCCAGCAAGACTTCATAGCCGTCCACACAGCCAAAAGAAACTGTATCTGGTCTGTCGATTATGGTATGAATGTGCTAGACTGACTAGCACACTGCCCCGACCTGAACCCAACAAAGAATCTATGGAGCATTGTTAAGAAAACGATGATTACTCACACCAGAGCCAACCATGCGGATGAGCTAAAGGCTCATCAAGCAACACGCTGCTTGTTTGACCCAATGAACTTGGTCAATGAAGCAATGAGCAGAAACAAAAGCTTGAAATATGTCACTCTGTATATTATAGATCTATACAATATGGATCTCACTTTCAGAACAGAATTATTGAAACACAGTAATATTTTGATATTGCTCTAAATTACTGAGATGCACCTGTAATAATAATAATAATAATAATACATGACCACATTAAAGTTTTTAGCGCTAGATACTGATGGCACACAAACTGGTCAGAGCATGAGGGGAACGCTTATTGGGGAATAAAGGGAGAATGTGATCTAGAAAGGGGTAATGTTAATAAAAAATGCTTGTGCTGTACTGTTAAATCTCTGCCTCCAGAAATGTGTGACATGATTAAGATGTGAAGTGGCAATAACAGTGTCAGTACAGGAGGAGGTGTTTATGGACTGAAACTCATCACCGTATCCCTCAACTTGGCAACTCCAGGGACATTAGAGATCTGACCAGGAAGTGATTCCCTGCTTTACGCAACACACCCACTGTACACACCGACTGACACTAGAGAACACACAGCACTTATGTAAGGCGGCCGTCACGGCCGGCAGACACTGTACCTTTTTCTCTGGAGAAAACCTTAGAGGTTCTACAATGAACAAGTCATCTGGACCTACTGGGGAGGGGAGAGAGGGGCCAGGTTAATGATGGAATGGCAAACAGGAATACATACATGTAACAAGCATGAAATGACCTTGCAAGTAGTTTTTACTTGTAACAAAAAGGTGGGGGGAAAAAAAAAAAAAACTACTACCACCTTGTGATTATAGATTACAGATGTGAGAAAGCAGCAAGAAAAACTACAAACTAATAATTAGTAAAACAAATATATATTCTAACATCAAACCAACATTGTAGGAAATACAGATTCTGCTGGTTCAGTAGGCGTCACTACTTGCAAACAACTAGCATGAGCCAGAGAAGCATTGTGCTCCATTATTACACTCCCGAAGCCTGCATGTGGACACTAGCTGGCAACGACAGCTGCGCCGCCTCAAGGGCGAGAGGCTCTCACACACGCACACACAGCCGAACAGCAATGGCCAGTAGGGGGCGGTGTACAACGCCTTGTAAAGCTATTCATAACCACTGACATTATCCACATTCCGCTTTGACGTCTTAGAACAGACTTAAATGTGTTTTATTGGGAAGTTTATGCACAGAGCAGCAAAAAGCAGTGCATCGATGTGAAGTGGAAGGAAAATGCTGCGCTGTTCTCCAAGAGTTTTAAAACAATCTGCAAAGTGTGGCATGCATTTATATATAAATTTTTGCCTATTTTTCTCAAAATGAATGGAGCTCGTTCCGATTAGCTGGACTGCATCTGTCAACGATTTCGCAAGTATTTTCCAGAGACATGGAAAATACAAATACAAAGTACATTCATGAAGTCATGAATGTACTTTGACTAGACTCTCCTAATACAAAAATTGAAGCTTTGGCTGTAAGGTTTGGGTCCTTGTCCTGCTAGGTGAACCTCAAACAAACAAGGCCTCAGGGTTTGTTTTTTTTCTTTTTTTTTTTTTTTGCAACATCTGAAATTTATTTATTTATTCAAAATTTAGTTTGACTCAATTTTTCAATCAACTGACCTGGTTTTCCCATCACTGCTCAGTCGGTGGAAACGTTCCGACTCACACTGAACTTTCCCTGTACTCCAAAAAGTGCAGTTTTGTCATCTAACCAAAGCATCTTCCTCTCCATGTTCGCTACAAGTTACACAGGCAGCACAGATAATACGACTTTTTATTACGTCACTCCATCCTGTAGGTTTATCACACAAAATCAAATCAGCAATGCTGTTTGTGGTTGTAATGTGAAAATCTTCAAAAGAGGAATGAACATTTTTGCAAGGCGCTGCAGGTTAAAGCTTTCCATCTGCGGCTGTGTGTTGCCTCTCGGCTCTGGCTGGCATGAGCAAAAGGCGAAAGGTTTTCCAAGTGAGCGATGGAGAAAATGAACAGAGTTTTTGGAAATGCCTGGATGCTGCAGTGCAGTGTTTAAAAGCAGCTGGCCTGAAATAGCCGTGACAAGTCTTTGCAATGCGGTGACTGTGGTGTCAAGTATAATCGCTGCTTAGGTTTCAGTGACAGAGACTAAAAGAGTAACAGTGGATGGACTTAAAAAAAAAGGTAAGTTGAAGGAGAGACGTGTCGAGAGTGGCGAGGGATCTCACCTTCCGTTGACGAAAGCTGAAACGACTTGGAGCGGACGAGCGGGGAGGCGACCCTTCGTCTTAGGCTCATGTCGTCGTAAGAAGAGAAACATCTGATGAGGGAAAACACAAATGACGTTAATAACGGGTTATTAACCTCACGTCAGTAGGTAGGACAAGACTTGATGGTATTTAACAAAGAAGTCCAACATGTTCCAGGAATCCCATAAAGATGTTGCCTCACTACACCTCTGACAGGAGTTGAGTAATTGGAGGAGCTTCAAGAGGGACGCATGCAGAGACAAAGTGTTACATTCACTGGAAGAGTGCCAGACAAAGAGGGCGAGGCAAACCTCTTGGGGCTGGGGTAGTGGTTGCTCTTGGGAAGGGGGGTGAAGTTGGCTTTAGGCTTGGGGGACGAACTGCGGCAGCACTGCAGACAAAGCAGGACGCCCAGCAACAGGCAGAGAACCAGAGAGAGCACCAGGTAGCTCTGACGGTCAGAAACCTGTAGAGGAAATGATCGGTCAGAAAAATAAATAGATTAGATTAAAGTGATCAAAACACACAAAGAATTACGTGTGGACTGTGAGGACTGCACAAACTTTTGATTTAGGCAACATGGGGAATTTTCTGGGAGTGGTGTACAAATTTAATAGAAATTCCTTTCTGGGAGATACCAGTTGCCTCACGATTAGCTGCTCTCAATTCATTTCACATGCAGCTATTTTTCATGCATTTAATCCATGTGGGCGCCATGTGGAGACGAACAACTTATTGTCCAGTTGAAATCTGAACAACAAGTCAATAGATCTCACTCTACAATTGAATGTAAACTTGCAGTAAAGCCAAGAAACAATTCATTATCTTTTTTTTTTTTTAAATGTCAACCTGAGATGAGCAGAAAAGTATAACAATAAGTCTCGAGGGCTTTCAGCTGACAGCATTTCTCACATTAATTTTCCTCCAAACCATCCTTCACCTTTATCATAAGGTGGAGGATGGTTTAAAGGTGCACTAACCCTTTTGAGGCAGCAACAAAATTGCCCCACAACAGTCAGGATGCCCATGCTAGCAGTTTAGCTTTCCTTTTGCTCACATGTAACTTTTTGCAGAAGTACAACTTTGCATTTGTGCTTATTTGGTTGTTCTTTCAGTACATGGAGTGTGTCAATTTGAGCTTCTTCTTTTTTCTTTTTTAAATGCATGCACGAAGCTGGTGTGTCAACAATGGTGTGTTTGCTACCTCTCGTTGCAGCTGGCTCACTGTAGCTGTAAGATTGAGCATCAGCTTGGTAACGTCCTCCAACTGGCTCTGCAAAAGCTGGATGGAATCCGTCTGCTTCTGGTCCTGTATTCGTTTACAGAACAGAACAAAAAGCGTGGTTCAGTTGTGAAGTAATGCTAACCGGTCAAGTTGTTTCACGGTATTTGGGTTTTGCTCGACCTGCTCCTGAGCAATGCGGGAGGTGTTCTGTAGCTTTATGATGGTCTTGTTAAAGGCTTTTTGCATCTCCTCCATCTGTTTACGGTACCTGGAGGAGGAGAAAAACAAATGGCAATGTTTCGTATAGTTTTCTAAATTTAACAACTAAGCTAATGCTGCAGGATTTTAACAGATATTAAATTAAGGATTCCTGAAGAGTTTTACCTCTGACTCAGCTCCTCCAGGTATCTGCTGGACAGACTCATGTTCATCTCCAGAGCTTTGATCCTGTTGTTCAGCCTCATGAACACGCTCTCCTTCTGACTGGAGCCGTGAACGGAGCCGCCTCCGTTCAGCAACATACCATTGCCGTTCAGCGTTCCCCCGGTGTAATCTCCTCCGTTCTGCAGCTCTGCGTAGAAATCAGTCGCCGTTCGCTGGACGTTAGTGTTTAACAGTTCCTCCTCCACTGAGTCCTCAGTCCGATGGGGCTCTCCCGTCTGGGAGAGATTGCTCCCCTGCTCTGCCTGGATTTGAGGAGCGTCTGTCCTCTGTTTTTGTTTGCCCCCACCGACGTCGGTAGCCGGCTTTACCGAGTCTGTGTGGCTGTCGGCTGCTGGGACGGCGGCTGGCAGCTCGGTAGGAGGGGGCAGAAGGTTCTCTGGTCTCGATGCGGTAGGAAGAGAAAGCACGGGCTGCTCTTTGACGGGAGTCGCCAAGAAAACAGAAGAGGCCGTCTCAGGAGACGGAGCCTGTGGGGGAGGACTGACGGAAGGTGTTGATGCGGCGCCGATGGCCTGCTGCGTCTCTGGGACCGAGGCAGCTTGGAGGGGGGGAGTGGGGACGAGGTCCAGGGATTCGTCCTTTACAGGAGGCAACGGCTTCTCCTCGTGTGTGGGGGTGGGTCGCATTAAGGTGCTTTGAGGCGCTGATGAACTGTGGGGAGGAATGGCGGCGGTCCTGCTGGGCTCCAGTACCACATTGAGCTCTGGAGTGTAAATATCAGACGGTTGAACTCTAAGTTGTATATCAGTCTGTACCTCAGCAGAGGGCTTCCCCTCGTTTACTTTATCCTGCGGCACCTCTGGGTCTGGGGCTTTCTCCGTCAAAGGGAGGAGGACTTCCTGGGTCGGCGACGGGACAGGGATGGGTGGGGGTGTGTGTGTCAGGACGGGGATGCTCTCATCAGTCTGAGTGCGAGTGTGAAGCTGCCGCCTCCTGAGGCTGCGCAGGCGCTCCTTTGCCAGCCTGGCGGAGCACCAGCGGTGAAGCAGCTCCGGCAGCGTCGCCATGCAGGACAAAGACAGGGAGGACAGGGACGAGAAAGGACAGTATGCCTGACTCTCCCACTGGTTCCTGTCAGCATCCCTCCTTCCTTTCTCCTCGCCCTTCTCCTCCTCCTCCTCTTCCTCCACCTCCTCCTCCAGCAGCGTCACAGTCGACTGTTTTGGCTCTTCATCTTCGTCCTCCTCCACAAGTGTGACAATCTGTCTGTCTTCGCTGGATTCGGGTAACGAGGAGGAAGAACTAGAGTCACTGGAGCCCTCCTCCGATGCAGGTTGTTCAGACTTTTCAGGGTCCAGACTGAGGAAAAACACAAAAACAGGCATTTAGTGTATTTTACTGGCTTACACAGAGTCTTGCAAAAGTATTAACTTTTTAGATTTTATTAAGTTACAATTTTAAAGCTACTCCGATCCCACAATGACATCGGAAATCAAAATCGGATTTCCGATACTGCATTTAGAATATCCGATAGAAGTACCCTGTCCTAACATTTCTATCCAGCAGAGCTTGCAATCCCCATATAAACTCATTGGTTAATAATGTGTCAATTGTTCTCGTGAATATTGTTGTTGACTATAGTTTTCTGAACAACATCACTTAGTCAAGCCTTTACTAACATTCAACACTACAAAATAAGTAATAAAAGTCTGTACATTTGGCACTGATATCACATCAGGTCAATATTCTCAAAGCCGCGATATTGGCATCACATCTGAAGTGAAAAAAAGTTTTAACAGGACACCCCTATTTAAAACTTGGGGATATTTTATATAATTTTATGAGGTCAACACAGAGTCAGCATAAAGAGAAACAGAAATGGATACAAGGCTTTCAAAATGTTTCACAATTAAGAAATGTGAAGTGATGCGTCCGTTTGTCCTCAGCCTGCCTGACTCTTAAGTCAGATTGGATTAGGATGTGATGCTAAATTTCTTCACGGTCTTGACTTTGATTAGGCCATTTTAATATGCACTGGATGTGTTAGGGGTGTCAGATTAAAGAATAGAGAATACAACTGTGCAACACGCTTAAATCTTTTGTTGATCTTACTCTGTGGAGTCGCGAGAGTCTTCAGGTGAGACAACTTTCCCGTCTGTGCTCGCCTTCTTTTCACTCCTCTCCTCTGTTGCATTGCCTGTGATTTTAACAAAAAGACATCAACAAACAAACTAATAAGACGACATGTGCATCAGAAGAATCAGTGAGAGTGAAAAACATAATTCAGCAGTTGAATAATAGCCCGGCTTCCTTTGACAGCCATTGGAGATGGACGTATTGTAGAGTATGCCAGGAGCTCCTGTTCCTTGTAAAAGGAGAACCAGTTCAGGCCAGTTTGAACTGAGCTCTCCTGCAGCCTGCCTCCAACTTTGTGGGTGTAAATTAGAATCAGGCTCTTTAGCTGCGAGGGGCCCAGAGTAACACACGCTCCTTTTAAAAGAAAGGCAAAGAGAAATCTGCTCCACTTCTGTTGCTTTTGCAAACTGTTTACCTATTTTCATATCAAATGGAAATGTGTTTTTTTTTCCCCCCCCCCCCACTTGAACATGATCGTAGTGGGGGAAGGGAAAAAAAAAAAAAAGCTGAGTCATTCTCAGAAAACTCTCCGTGTGGTTAAACAGAGCTACTAGAGGTTTTGGCGTCAGCCCCCCCGCGGTTCCAGCATAGCTGAGGATTCTGCCAAGAAGCTGGAAACAGACGGCCAAAGTCCTGCTGAAAAGCTGCTGAAGACCTCCAGTCAGAGGCAGAGTAAACATTTGAGTCCTTCAGCACACAGGGCTTCACGTACACTCACACCGGAGGGGGGGGGGGGG